GACAAGCGTAACCCAGCGTGACATCAAGCACCCTTTGTCGCTCTGTTGGTGGTATCAATCTTTGCGATAATGCACAAGTACAACACCGCTAGTTGCGTACCTAAGGCGAGGGGAGCTGGTCAATCCCATGCCCCGAGCATTCGATCTTGTAGCACATTTCATTGTTAAACTTTCGCGAAACCGTCGCCGGGAGAGGGCCAATGGTTGGTATTCAGAATAGGGGGCGGGGGAAAGTGATGGTCGACGTCACCGGCGGGATCGAGGGGCTATGGGCGGTGGATGATGCATTGGGAAGGGGGACTACGCGGTTGTCGCGCTGTTGGCAGTGGGGGCTAGACAGCAAGCACACGGTGGATAGCCAATCCCTCGGCAGCCATCGGCAGAGCTACTCTGTATTCTCAGTCGCCCACCGGTNGGGGAGCTGGTCAATCCCATGCCCCGAGCATTCGATCTTGTAGCACATTTTATTGGTAAACTTTCGCGAAACCGTCGCCGGGAGAGGCCCAATGGTTGGTATTCAGAATAGGGGGCGGGGGAAAGTGATGGTCGACGTCACCGGCGGGATCGAGGGGCTAAGGGCGGTGGATGATGCATTGGGAAGGGGGACTACGCGGTTGTCGCGCTGTTGGCAGTGGGGGCTAGACAGCAAGCACACGGTGGATAGCCAATCCCTCGGCAGCCATCGGCAGAGCTACTCTGTATTCTCAGTCGCCCACCGGTGCCACTCGATATTTTCGCTGTTATGGCTCTCATCAAACGCAGGCGGATGGTTCCCACAGGGCATGGGTATCGTGCACCGAGGGCCTGACCAGCGTCGACAGGGTTTCGCTGGATACCAATTTTTCCGTCGAGGAAATCACCTTCCAAGTGAGGGTGTTTGTCCCGCGCCGAGCGGCTTCCGACCTGGAGGCGTCAAACATCTTCAGCATCGCCAACCGCGCCGACCGGGTGGAGGAGACGCAGCAAGAGATCCTCGATAGACTGCGGTAAGCGTTTGTGCTTGGTCGGTTGCAAGGGGAGAGTGCATGTCAGAAGTTATCCTGGGTCCTTGTGTTGGGTAGAGGTTGCTGTTGTCGTGGCCGTCGTCGGGATTGTTTCTGTCTGTCTGTCTGGTGTTGTTGGTATTGACAGCCATGTGTACGGTGAATGCTGATGATGTCGTCATGGTCTTGGTCATCGTCGCCGTCGTCGTTGATGTTGGTTGTTGTCGTCGTTGGTCGGCAGCTACCCATGATATCCAGCAGCTGCTTTGCTTGACACGGCGACGAGGTTGTCATGCTCAAACCACAGTGCCGCAGAGCATGTGAAGTTCCCAACCGCCGTGTTGCGCTTGACGGTTAAGGAACTACTGTGGTAGAGCCTATGCCTGCCAAGCATCTAAATAGTCCAACCGCGCCTCCTACGATCCCGTCCCGTTGCACCCATGCGCATGTTCCAGCTCACGGTTCGAGGACATGCAGGAAATGACCGCTGCCGTGGTGTCCAACCTTCGCAACTGCGTGGGCGCGGTGAGTTATTGTAGTTGGTCCAATGTTATCTTTCAAGCAATGCAGCGAAACTTGTTGTTTGTTCACCAGCTGTTCAATTCTTCACACGTGGTGAGACCGAGGGTGCTGCTTTGTTGATTGTTGGTCGTTGGTATTCTAGAGTACACACCTCCTCGGAATGTGATAATCCGTACAGCGACTCGCCATTTCCGCCTTGTGAGGAGTAGGGACGGGGGTCGGGGGTTGTGGGGGGGTACTTGAGGGAAGTCGTGATGGGTTTAACCTTTAGACTTGAACAAAAAGACGACGATAAGAGGGAAGTGCCGACGTCGTGGTAGGGGCCTTGAACGAATTGTTGCATCGTCGATGATTGTCGATGTCATGATGGGTGTTGGAGTCCACTTTTCTCTCACAGATCTTCTAAGTTCGTGTGTAATATGATGGTTTGTTATTGTGGTGCTTCGCACACATACCGGCAACGAAAGGAACGTTCCTGAGTAGTGCCGCCCCATGGCAGATGCTTGAGGCGCGCCAAAGGTGAGCATCTCCCCACCCGTCATGGCGCTGGCATCGGATAGTTTGATCGCGTGCCTTGTATGTTTTTGCTGGACAGGCCCCGGACGACTCAGGGGAGGCATCTGAGGGCAACGGCAGCGTCAGTTTTAGTGATAACAGCGGCGACGTTAATAATACGGGCGTGGACACGGGTGAGGACAGCACGGCCTCAGCCGGAGATGGCACGGCGGTAGACCGGACGGAGGCTGACGATGCTGGTAACGAGGAAGACGCCGAAGGGCAAGAGCCTGACGCCCACGTCATTGACGCCAACCCACCTACGCTAGACTAGACGGGGTTTGACTTGTCTTGCTTTTCAGACATTGCTGTTCGATGTGGAGCAGCTATGCCAGTTTTCAAGCGTGGGTTCAGCGGTGTCCTCCGTGGGTGGTGCAAAAAGTTTGGACTTTCAGCCCTGTGAGCGTGGGCGTCGTGTTCTAGTCTTGTTTTGTTCTTCCTGTTTGGTC